CACTACACTACCAGAGCTCCTTTCGGGAATGTATAGAGGCAAGTTAATGGATCAAAAACCTGGGGAAAGACAAAGCCCCTAAGTGGTCCCAGTTTGATCCAACATACTTGATTTGTCACAAAGAGCTTGCTAGCTTTACAGACAACAAATTCTGGTAGTAGCGTGGATTATGAGCTGGGCTGCTATTTGCAGGGTCAGTAATTAGAATTTACCAGTCATTGTGAGGGAGAAAGATGAGACTTTCTGCTTCTGCAAAGATTGACAGCGTCAGAACTCCTATATATAGGGTCTCTATGAGTCAGAACGGACTTGGTGGCACACGTCCACCAACCACCACCATTATAAGCAGTGCTAGTTCAGAGCAGTTTTGTTTCAATCCCACCTTATTTCCTGGTGCCCCTTGTCTTTGTAGCTGTGTGATATTTGTGTCTTTTGCTTCATAGCTGTGTGGTTTGGCAGACCAGTGTTCCAACACCAGCCCTACTCTTTACTGCTGTGACCTCTGACAAACAACTTGAACATTCTGTGTCTCAACTTCTCATTTGTGAAATGGGGCTGATCTCAGTATTCCAGACCTCCCAGACACTTGTGGAACTGCAGTGAGATAATATGACTTAAAAGTACTTTTTTAGTCACGCACCTCTAGACCCACAAATGGCAGACCCTTCTATGATAGTTCCCTCTGGAAATGTGTGCTGATTTGCCTGTCTCCAGAAGGGGTCCAGAAGTGGGCGTGGTCATGATGGTGGCAGTTAGTGCAAGCATAGCAATCTTTCAGAGACAGAATGAACAGCTGAATGGACTAAATATCAGTCTTTAGATTTAAAAAATGTCTCCAGTGACCCTTGACTATTTGGTTCCATGTATTTGTGCCCCTCCTCACCATGACCCTTCCTGTCTGTGCCTGTGCATTGGTCAGGATGGGAACATGAAGTACACTACTGTGGCGCTATGACCAGGCCTTCTTGTGTCTTGTTCTGCATTCTGAGGTCACCAAGTTATGAACAGTTAGGTCCTTTAGGACATATGGAAAGCACAGCGTTTAATCTCAAGATTAGACAACCGTTGGTTGGACACTTGCTTAACCAGCTACCTGGTTGTGAGATCTTGAGCAAGTCACCTCACCCCCACCAAGCCTCAGTTTTCCTAACTAGACAATGGAGATGAGAGTGAGGATGCTTCAGAGGATGGAGATAAGGTTTAAATGAGATAATGTATTTAATACATGCAACATCAATCTTGCCTCACAATAAACAGTCAAACAACAGTGTCAGTTATTAGCTATTCTTGGGTTAATGCACTGGACTGCAAAGTAGGTTTGAACTGCAATGTTGGTGGTTCCAGCTCACCAGCCACTCCTAAGAAATCCTATACAGGGTCGCTATGGATCGGAACCGATTCTATGGTACTTAACAACAACTTAAAGCAGAACTGGAAGAGTATAGCCCTTAAGTGTTAGCAGGTGGCCCTCACCATTCTGATCCAAAGGCATGTTCTCTGAAAAGCCATGATCCCTGAATCAAGGGAGCTCTTCTTGTGTTCTCTGGTGGTTCCTGCAGGGCAGGGGTAAGGAGTGGGGAAGAAGAATGTTACCAAGACCTCTACTCAGGAATAAAAAGGACTGGACTGAAAACTTCAAAGGGAAGACAATCCTGCCTTTCAGTAAAAGCAAGGGAATCAAACCTGTCCAATAGGCCCTTTGCTCATTGGCCCTGGGCACTGGGCTCCTAGTTAAGTTAAACCCATTTTCCTGAATACACAACCCCTCCCTCACCTAGACAGTCAATCTGTAGTGAGAAAACACACAGGTTTGAGCCCTCTTGAGATCTGAATCTCTAACTCAGGGCGACATCGCCCTTTCTTCAGTTGAGCACAGTTAGAACTTGATTGGGGAATCAGCTGGTGTTGCAGCATCTGCATGGGGTGGGGCTGCACGCCACACCTGTCTGTAGTTTCTCAGTTCTGTCTTTGAGCAGCTCTTGGTGCCACATCTGAGCAACAGAGACACTCAAAGAGCTCACATTCACCCCCACACTTCACACACACACACACACACACACACACATACACACATACACACAAAGCCTTCCTAGGCTAGGCTAATAATGCATATGTGTAAAGCTAACCAAATGTAAGGCAATGGGGTAGGGGCCTATGATGACCTGAGACATACAACTGGTCAACAGTTGTCTAAACACCTTCAGTAGAAGGTGGTTTGCTAAAATCTGCTTATCCAGGTGTCTGCAGAAATGCCCCGACTGCGCTTTCAGATTACCAGTGATCTAGGGTTTGAATGGAGGAGGGCAATAATGGCCTATGGGGAGACTTGCTACGGGGGTGAGGGAAACTCAAAACAGAGTGACCAAAATGAATCTGGACACGGAGTTCTAATGAAGTTGCACCCAAAGGGCAGGCAGAGACAGAGACCACATGGGTGAGCCAGACACTCTGTAGGGCCTTCTGAAGGCATAGCCATGGCGCCTTTGGCTTCCCAGACACCTCCAATGAGGAGCGGTCAGGCCCCTGTAAGTCACACTCCAGGGGATGTTGGACTTACTTAGCCCCCACTTACTGTGGAACAAGGTGGCATCTTAGGTTCCCCATGGCCTCTGCAAAGTGCCAGCTTCTTTCCCTGTAGACACAGTGGCCCTGCAAAGGAAGCCTGAACTTCTCAATAGAAGATTTTAATAAAAAAGAGGCTTAGAGGAATAAGGAATTTTCCAATTATACACACTGGAAAGAATCCTGAAAGCCAATGATGTTGGAAGAAATTCAGAATTGGCCTCAGAGTTCCAAAATCCTTCTTTGAAGTTTCCAACTTGTTCCCAGTGCTCTAGAAAGCCCAGACAAGATTGTTTGAAAGCCTGGTTATTAAAAGGAATAGTGTGGCCTGGTTTTAGCCTGGATCTTATGTCACAACCAAGAGAGCCGCCATTAATAGTATTGATAGCAGCCCTCTGTGCAGAGGGAGAGCATTGTGGTTAAGAGTAAGCATGGCTACAGACCCTTCCAATGATGGAGATAAATCGGACCCTGACATATAAGTAGCTAATCATTTGAGAAGTAGAAATATACATTTTCCAACAGCTTTTGGACAGGAGGCAAATCTCAGCTCTGGTGGTGTGTGGCCAACTCAGAATTCATGCAAGTGAGGAAACATCACCCAATACCTGATAACGAGAGAGGAACATTCTACATATTTTGAGACCAAGGTCTGGTGGGGCAGAGGTAGGATGGACTCAAGGTCAACAGTGAATCCCACTCATTCTATTTAGGCCAGCCTCACCCTCCCAAGTGGGTTGTTGGGGATCTGGGTAGTCATTCCCTTAGATGCAGATGACAGTGTGTTCTAAACACGGCTGCTGAAGTTGAATCCACCATCAGGCCCATCTACTCATGATCCCCCAAAGGGCAACTTAAGATCCCTTCCTTGTGCAGGCCAGGCAGGGCCTCCTACCTTGGATACAGAGAGAATTTTGTTCAGATCTCCGGTCTTTGCTGAATGAGGTCTAGACTGGCTCTCCCTCTAATCTGCAGTATGACCATGGACAAGTTTACCATCCCTAGTTAAGCTCAGTTATTCCATTTTGTAAAAGGTGGGGTGGTAATAGAGGGCCCCCTACTAACTCTTTTTGCTCTAATCCATTGCCTAGATGATCACAGTATCACTAGTAGCTTCAGCCCAGAGTCCCCTGAGGATGATGAAGATCGCTCCTGAACTTTGGAGGGTCTCATTGCGACTTTTCCAAAGAGGTTTACATTCCTAGTTTCATTGTTGTTGTTGTCAAGTGCCATCGAGTTGATTCCGACCCATAGTGACCCTGTATAGGGTTTCCAAGGAGCAGCTGGTGAGCTTGAACCACCAACATTTCAGTTCAAATGGCTTTGCAGTCTGGTGCATTAACCCACAGCGCCACACCAGCACATTTCATTAAGCTATGTCATATCCATGTATACTTCATCCTCTAAAACAACTAGTCTGCAGGCCTAGTGATCCCACTTAGGTCAGAAAGCACAGACTTAAAGGGATCTAGTGACTCTCCTGAGGTCATGCATCTGCTAAGTGACAGGATTGGGGCTGGAGATAGCACTGTGTGAGTTCAAGCTTAGGGACCTTTGTCATGAGACAGATGTAAACTTGTCCAGTGAGAGGGAAGGACTTTGATAGATAATGGAAATCTCTTCCTTGGTCCACAAGGGACAAGGGGCCCAGGGCTAAAGTCTAAGATTGTTCCTGCTTCCATCCCCAACACAGATGCTGACTAAGTAGAGGCCACAAGACTAAGGGCCGGGGTGTGTTTTGGGGAAAGTGAGTGGGCAAAGCTCAGGATTATGGTGGATGCCAGTTGTTCTGTCCCCGCAGTGAGTTAAATAGCCATGACCCTGAAGGCTAGATACAAGGGTGAAACCATGTCAAGAAAGTCTAACCTACGGACCATTTCCCCAAAACACAGTGGGCTACTGCAGCAGGCAACAGACAGGGACTTGTGTTAACAGGGCCAACAAGTGGTCAAGGGAAGCCTGCAATCTCCATGGTCAGTCCATTAGCTTGGTCTCACCTGAGCACAGGTGCTCTGGGTACTGCGGAGTCTCTCTCCTTGAAACAGGACTTTCATTTGAACAAAACAAGATGAGCTCAATTTACCATTTGTGTGTCTCTGAAGTGAAGCATCCATTCTCCTGTTTGCCCAGTCCTCTACCTCTCCCCTTTCTGTAACTGACCTCTGCCTCACCATACTCTCATCGATGATGACACTGGGCATGCGGAGATTTGGTTGCCAAGCAAGGATTTCATGCTAGGCACACCAGTCCTGACCCCAAACTCACTCCATCATGCCTGCTGCTGCCTACAGAGCAGGACTGCTGTGGATGGGGGAAAGAGAAGGATGAAAAGTATTGTTAGGTGAGCCTGCTCATCCGGCTGACTACTTTCCACCCTCGAGCAGCCCTGTCTGTTCTGCCCAGTGTGGAGGGACAACAAAGCAAGGTGGGGGTCTTACCTGCAGCAGTGGTAATGCCTAGGAGCCGGCAGGTGTATTCCAGCCCAATCCAAAACACCTGGAGCTTCATGGCACCGGGGCAGTGAGGGCAGAGTCCCAGTAGGTCAGGTGGCGGAGGTCCAGCCTGGAATTTGCCTGGACCTCCGTCTGCAGACAGAAGGTTGTAGTCACCAGCTCCAGGCCCCTGAGCCCAGGGGCTCTGCCTTCCCAAATGGGTCTTGGCCACTGCCGTCTCACTGAGGTGTAAATAGGAATCACCTTCCTGGCCCTGCCACTGTGCCCTTACCCAGCATTTGGCTTAATCATTACCTGAGAAGAATGCCCCCTCTGCTCCGTGCAGCCCTCAGCCTCAAGCCTGCCTGAGATCTGACTGATTAGGGTTGGGCGGGGGCAGCTCAAATAAGCAGGGTATTAACCATTTCTGGCTGGGAGGAGAGAGCTAAGGGGGTATCCAAGGGCCCTTCCTTACTGGACAGAACCGTGGAAGTCTTACCTGAACCTGACATCTCTCCAGGGTCTGGGGGAAGTCAGTCCCTGAGGAGATGGGGCACTCCGATGTCCACGGTTGTGTGCATTTGAGAGATGGCTGTGCCTTTAAATCACCAGTACAAACCACTTTTGAGATGGGTTCCAAGCTTCACTCTTCTATTTAGAGGTGGATTATGATGCTTTGCCAGGCTGTGGCAGACTTGGACTCAGACCAGAGCTTACTTAGCCCCATTACAAATGGGACCTTCATTTATCCTGGACCAGCATCCCTAGCACATGATTGGGGGGGACTATTAGGGTTTTTAGGAGGGAGTTGAATGTCAATAATTAACTAGGTGACCTTGGGGGAATCTAAAGAGACGTGTGAGCATTACTTAGTAACTTTTGCAAAAATCAATGAGAGAGTTTGGCTGGGTTGATGGTTCTTAAAGTAGTTTAAGTGCAGCTGGGCCAGGAAGCTCAATCTCAAAATTGGCTAATGGTGGGTTTTCACTAATTCTTATTTTACTTTGGACTTATCAAGGGTTAAATTTCCTTTTGGATATTTTTTTTGAAATCTATTGCTCCACTGTTCATTTAGAATAGGTCATAACATCCCCCCTCCCCCCTGCCATACACACACACAACAAACAAGCAAGAGAATTAGAGGGAAAATCCTCATTTGCTGTGGTTAGGTGCCATCAAGTTGGTTCCGTCTTATAACAACCCTATGCACAACGGAACAAAACATTACCCAGTCCTGTGCCATCTCCCAATGGTTGTTACATTTGAGCCCGTGCTGACACGGTGCCAATCCATCTCATTGAGGTCTTCCTCTTTTTTTGCCGGTCCACCATTTTACTAAGGATAATGTCCTTCTAAAGTAACTGGTTCCTCCTGATAGCATTTCTGAAGTATGAGAGATGAAGTCTTACCATTCTGGCTTCCAAGAAGCATTCTAACTGTACTTCTTCCAACACAAATTTGTTTGTTCTTTTGGAAATCCATGGTACTTTTAATATTCTTCTCCAACATCATAATTCAAATGCATCGATTCTCCTCTCATCTTCCTTACTGATTGTCCAACTTTCACATGCATTTGAGAAAAATCCTTACAATAATGGAAAGTTCAGACATAGTGAGTGTTATGTTTTTCTTGGGTGAGAATGCTATGTCTTCAGTATCTATTGCATTCATGGTAATTCTGTGGTCTTCCATCAGTTTCTGGACTTCAGCCACAGCTTTTTCATTTGTCAAGGTTGAGATCATCTCTATCACCCTTAAAATGCTTGATCCATGTAAAAACGGTCGTTTATTTGGAGTAACTTTCCCGTAAATTTGTTGAAAAGCTTCAATGATTTGGGAAGATGTTCACTTGAGTTTTGTAAAACAAATGATATTAGTCCTGACCTCGAAATTGTTTCTTTCCATGGCACAAGAAGTATCCTTTTTTTGAAGGCACCCTAATGAGACTAAGTATGGCTATTACTTAGAGAACGTGTCTGTAGCCATCCACTGATAACAGAATGTTTATACTTGTTTTGTTCAGAATAAACCCATGAATGTATGAACTAGAACCCTAGTAGCAACACTTTTTTATTGACTCTCGAATTAGCAGACTGTTCTTATCAGCTCAAACCTTCCCCAAATTTGACATGTCTTTCTGAGGGCTCCATCTTTACATGCCCTCTGTCCCTAGAAATGCAGAGAGGGCTACGTGGATCAGATGTTACCAGTAACATGGCTTCATTCTCCCTTGGAACCATTCTCTCTGATCTGCTTGGGAAGCACTGGCTGACACCCACAACATTCTCTCCTTCATTTCAAATAGGATCTAATTTTGTTTGCTTCTTGGATGCCCATGTGCTCAGAAGAGATGAACACATTGCAGCCATTGGTGGATGGGAGGTGGTTGAGTTTAGTGGCTGTAATCACGACATTCCCCCTCCCAGATTTAGAAATGAATGTGTGACCCAATTCTGTGGTGCTGTGGGATAAAGCATGCAACTGCTAACTGCAAGGACAGTGATTCAAACTCACCAGTCGCTCTTCATGAACCTTATACAGGGTTGCTATGAGTTGGAATTGACTTAATGGTTCTTAACAACTACACTACCAGCAAGAGGCGTGTGCTGATGCACTTCTGGGAAAGTTCCTCACTTTTACAGAGGGCACAAAAGTGACTGCACCCTGCTCCCTCTGGATGCTGCAGGGTCAGATAGGCAGGCATCTTGTGACAAGGAGGGTGCAGGCAAAAGTTTGGTGAGCGAGATGGGAAACAACACTGGGCACCTGTGATGCTATGGCATTGCGGAACTTCCCAACACTGCCAACCCTAGCAGCTGAGTGCTGGCCTGTGACCAAGGACAGTTTCCTGTTGACCTAGCTGCCTTGAGTTTTTGGTTACAGATGAAATAATTTTGGCTGACATAGTGTGCTGTCCCTGAATTGAGTCCCTTACCCAACTGTTTTCTCAGGAAGCTCTTTTCTGTGTACCTGGCTCAGGTCAGTGTAGACTGAGAACCACAGAGACTGAATGGAAGGGTATCCTTCAAGTCCTGGGGTGCCCTTTCTTCACTGGGGCTATTCTTCTAAGAGGGGTTACAGTTGAAATGTTGGGCTGATTATAAAAGGAGATTAGGGCCCACTGCAAAAGTAAAACATGGAAGAACCCTATGGGAAAACTGCAAAGAATATTCTGGATGAGATTTGACCTCTCTACGCTATCGATCCTACTTGGGCCAGATCCTATAACTGAGGGTCTCCCATGCTCTAATTGGTCCTCTTCCTTGTGGACCATAATGTCCTCTTCCAGTGATTGATCCCTCCTAATAATGTGTCCAAAGCAAGCACAGTGGGCTGCGTTCTGTTGTGGTCCATTAAGTTGTCGTTGGCTAACTTTTGGAATTAGAACAGCAGGTCTTTCTTCACAGTCTACCTTAGTCTGGGAGCTCCACTGAAACTCAATCACTATGGGTGGTCCTACTGGTATTTGAAATACCGGTGGCATGGATTCAAGCATCATAGCAACTCACAAGCCACTACAATATGAAAAACTGACTGATGGATGGCAGAAACTCCTAGGAGCTCAGAGAAAGATTGTCAGAAATTGGGATACTAAGATAGAATTTGGCTCCAAAGTTGGTAAAACTTTCATACATTCAATTCAGACTGTGTAGTCATTCAAGCGTCCCGAGGAAAAGGAGAGGGGGCATTTCCTTGAGAAATCAGTGGGACAAGCTAGAAAGCTCCACAAGCAGCCAACCCTGGCAAAGTGAGGAAAAGGACGCAGGACCAGTGGAAAGCAAGTGGAAAAGTACAAAGACAAAAAGAGAGTCTCAGATTACAGAAGTATGTGAAGCAGAAGATGCTGGGATCGCAGCGGCTTGGTTCAATGACGGGATGTGGACATTACACAGAGAAAATATAATTCAATTTCTATTGCATTCTAAGGAATCCAAACTTGCACAAATAGGTGTAAGTCACAGGGGGAAGCTTTCAGCTCAAAGCATGGAAAGATGCTTAACAATTGGTCTCGCGGTGATAGAATTAGCTGTTTTGAAGGTAATACGCTCCCTAAGGACTGCAGAAAGTTTGAATGGGGGTGGGGACAAAGTGTTGCGCTCACTGATTGGATGACTCAGATCTGGGAGCCTGTGATTCTGTTGTTAGTTGCCATCTCATTGATTCCTTGTATGTGGAGTAGAACTGTGTTCCATAGGGCTTTCCATGGCTGTGACCTTTCAGAAGTAGATTTCCAGGTCTTTCTTCCAACACACCTCTGGGTGGACTTTAACTGCCAACCTTTCCGTTAGTAACTGAGTGTTTAGCCATTTGTATTGTTATGCCCAGAATTCGGGGTCCCCAAAGACCACCCAGGAGCCGTGTACCAATGCAAATACATAAGGGTTGTTTATTCAAGCTCGAGCCAGGTCTCTAACCTTATCCGACACTTCGGAATAGGGAAAGAGCCCCGAATTCATTGTCTGCAGGGTTTTTATAGAGTTTTCAAACAGCTCAGGTTTCTCAGCTTTACAATCTTTGGATTGGTTAACAATTGGCAAACTATGAGATGTTACAGTTTAATTGGTCAGGACTGGTGGTCTTTGTTCTTAGGCTAGGGTAAAGGAAAACATCTGGCCTCTGGCCTTGAGCTGCCTGGCTATTTATACATATATCATTTTCTTGGAGGTAGAGGACGTGTTCAGGCTAATGTACAGAATGGAGATTGACCTTGTCTCTGGAGGGAACTAAAAACTGAGGCCTTGTCTATTTAAAATGCTTTCCTGAGCCTGACTAGAGTTTAGTCAAGCAGTCTCTAGGTAGGCAAAATCAGGTAAAGTCAGTTTGGTCCTTACAGTATCACCCAAGGACACCAGGTTAGATGGATGAAGTCAAACACACCTTTTCTAGAGCAGATTCTAGGAAATGGGAACTGAGAAGATAGGGAAACAGAGAGCTGACTGCAGTGTGCCTAACCTGACTTTTGAGACTCCAGCAACTATTTATTTTTTATAAAACATTAAATTTATTGGTCTTGTTTTCTTGGGAATTTGATGTGTCACTACTGCATTACAACTGAGCCATTAATCTTGTAGCCTT